TCCACCACAAGTAATAAATCTTATAGATTTCGCACCTTGAACCTAGGAGACGGTCTGGCCTTGGTGATTGCTCTTGAGAAGGCATTAGTGAGTTCAGGTTCAGCTCTTCTAACTCGCCTGGTAGTCAAGTTGTACTCATAACTCATTGACGTGCAAGTGGGATCAGCGATGGTCATTAATATTAGTTGTCGGCCGTTGGCTGGCTTCCTATGGCAAGCTGTCAAGTCAGAAGAACCTTCGAGAGATCTATCCTTGTGGGCTTGCCCTTGGAATCCACATAAGACACCTTAAATTGTCTTCATTATATACTCTATTTTGGTGAGGTCCTAGCTTGTGGTGTAGTTGGTGTTCTCTGTGTTCACAAATGGTTCTTGTTGGTTATGCTTATTTATTAGGGCTTTATTTCTTGTCAATGGTATTAATCCATTCTCACTGCTCTTTGGAGGATATTATATCCAATAGTTTTTAGGATGACACCTGATTTTACTAGCTGGTTGACTAGATGAATAGGCGAGTAGAATCTTTGCGAGAATGAAGAATGAGAGTAGAGTTAGAGAGAGAGAGATTATAGGAGAATGGTTGGAAAAAAACTAGAGCTCTATTACTGATAGAGTTTCCACTATGTTAGGTAAAAGTTACAAGAGTCGAAAGGTCCCCCTAAATTGTTTTTCTTCACCTCCTATTTATAGTATTTTAAGGGCTACAATAAAGGATATACAAAGGAAATATGAAAAAATATAACGCTACATAATGCACTAGACACATCATCCTTTGATTTTTGGTTAAGGGGGCGGTGAGATTGATGATATGTCTCTTGGCAAGTTTGGTGGTACCAAGTGTGTTCTAGGTAAATTCAGTAGGGGTCAAGTCCGTTGTACCAGGAAAGTTTGCAGGCTAACATCAAGCATGTGTAACTCGTCGAGTTGACACAACTCAGTGAGTTGACATTAGTTGGAAGTCGCGGGTGTCGTGAGGGAACTGACGAGCGAGCTGAGACAGTTGCGAGAATTTGCTATGTTTGATGCAAATTGAGCGAGTTGAGGGCCGTAAATAGGTTGTTTCCTATAGTTGGGTTTGGATTAAGGGTTGGTCGCTTAAGGAGAGGGAAAGTGACTGATAGAGGAGTCTAGGCACGTGGCGGGTGCCGAATTGTCGATTTGAGGAGAAATCTCCAAGTTTCCCTGCATACGGTGAGTTTTTTTATTGGCCCAAATGAGTGATGCTTGTTGATATGTTCATGTGAGTCTCCCTTTGACTTTTGGGCGAGTACCATTCCTCTTAGATTGTTGAGGCGTGTTTCTCTTATGGCCCTCATGAAGGGAGAATGCATCTATCAAAATATGCTAGCCACCTGCTAAATATCTGAGAATACATATGCAAGTATACAATTTGCAAACAATCATGTGTTCTTATTACAAGGCAAGTGCATACTTAAATGGACCCTCTCTTGATCCTTGGGTCAATGCAGCTTGGGAGACTTAAGGTTCGAGGTCTTTCACGTAGAGCATCTTTCTTTAGAACCTTATAATGAAGTTCCTTATCAACTCCCATGGCTCTTGTCTCATCTTCAGTAGAGCTTGTGAGCTATTTTACGTCTTCTAGGCACCAGTGAATTAAGTCATGAACATTCTCTTAAATTTAGAGGAGGTGTCACACTCATTGACAGGCACGTGAGCTACTTAAGCACTGACTGCTTGAGCATTGTGAAGAGTAAGTAGCATTTGAGAGCTTCGTCAACATCTAGTAGGGAAGTCATGATCTCAAAGGTCGCCACAAGGTCAATAAGATAAATCTTGCATCTTTAGGTTTTCAAATTTCACACCTTGAACATACAAGACAGACTGGCCTTGGTGATTTCTCTTGAGAAGGTATTAGTGAGTTCAGATTCAGCTCTTCTAACTTGCCTTGTAGGCAAGTTGTACTCATAACTCATTGTCGTGCAAGTGGGATCAATGATGGGCATTAATATCAGTTGTCGGCCGTTGGTTGGCTTCCTATGGCAAGCTGTCGAGTTAGAAGAACCTTCGAGAGATCTATCCTTGTGGACTCGCCCCTGGAATCCACCTAAGACGCCTTGAATTGTCTTCATTATCTACTCCATTTCGGTGAGGTCCTAGTTTGTGGTGTAGTTGGTGTTCTCTGTGTAGTTGGTGTACTCATGCCTAGATATTGAAGTAGGAGGACAGGATATTAGGAGTACAAAGCTGGTATTTGAAGGTTTTGGTGGCGAATGAAGCAAAATATTCTTCTTAATAAAGAATGTGGTCTAGCAAAACCATAATGTATGGGATGGTAGTCATGGCAGCACAACTCGAAAGCATAGTAGTGGTAGCTAACTTGATAGCTTTGTAATGGTAGCACAAACTCAAAAGCAGGCTAAGTATAAAATAATTATTAAAATAAATCTGTGCTGCTAAAAAATTATCCGTGAACTAAAATAAAGGATATAGTCTTGAGATTAAATGCATGTGGTGGAGTTGGAAGCTCAAACTCAATATTAGACAATTGAATCAACATTGACAATTATGTATTATTCTTTGGTGGCATATAAAGTGATTTTGAAGCCCTAACAATTTCTGTAAGCAGTGCAAACTCTAGTTCATGGTCATTATCAATAACTATTGATGTTTTGGCCTCAGAATTTGTCACGGTCTCGATCATTGGAATAAATCTCATGCTGATGTGCAACATCTTCCTCATCTATTTCTTCTATGCCTTTTAGCTAGAAATGAGGACGTGCCTCATTTAAGATTTTATAATTATGATGTTCTGCCTCGACCCCATGTAGTGGGATAAAGGCTTGATGTTGTTGTTATTACAATTGATGTTGTGCTAATTGTTCTTTGAATGCTTATCATATTGTTGCTATTTTTTTTAATGTTGCATTTTGCATTAATCAAAAACCAAAAATACTAAAAAGACCAATTATATGTGGTGAGTCCTGTCGCTATCTTCCCTCAAAAAGACAGAAAAAAAGATGAAATTTTACAATCATTTACATCTTTCAAAACAAAATTACTATTAAGAGCAAGAGAAGCACAAAAATCAGTTGGCTTGTTACTTACCCTAGGGATATAATGAAAGAGAACTTCCTTAAAAAGAGTCTAAAAGGTTAAGTCACGGTCAAATTCACTGTCATCCAGTTTCCTTTGGTCTCCCATTGTGTGTTGAAGCCACAAAATCACATTGATGTTATCTCCTTTGACGATGACGCCTTCCAAATCATCCATCCAATACTCAGTAAGTTTTAAGATTGTTTTCTTGCATCCTTTGTTGAACCTGTTGATGAAATTATTTTATATGTTTAAATGAATTTTTACATTATTCAGGATCGGTGGAAAGTGACCCAACATAATACTTAATGTTATCTTATGATTGATGATTAGAGCATAAGATTAAAATTCATGTTTTGTTTTAATATCCATATTTGTTACATTGATATTCATCATAATCAGCATTTGATACCAATGATGATATGCCTTTAGTGTTGTCTCGCATACTCAAAATATATAATAAGCCAGATGTCTAAAGTATCCAAAGAAAGAAATTTATTGATGGTATAGCTGCTCCACGAAACAAGAAGCTACAGTAAACAAGAAGCTACAGTTGTGAAACTTACGAATACCAAAGATGGTCAATTGAGGTAGGTGAGGTAGGCTTCGATGGGTCTGACAATTGTTTGTTGATTAGGGACTGGTTTCACGAGGAAGAAAATTGGTGGAATTGGTGGAATTGGTGAAAGCAAGCACTAGTCAGCTCTAATACTAAATGATGTAACACAAAGAAGAGAGCTGGTGTAGTTCTAAAAGAAACGACATGAAGTGAGTGAATGTTACATAACATAATCCATTGGGAAATAAGAGAATATCAAGAAATTAATATTTCATTCAAAATTTAAGTTCTGTCAGTACAAGATCAGTACCTTATATAAATTTAGGGCCTCAATACTCTTATTACGAAGGAAATGAATCATATGTCCTTTTTGCATTTAGATGGCTTATAATACTTTTCTAATAATGCTTGTGAAATCATGTGTTCTTATTACATACACTAAAATATTCAAAACAATTAAAACATGAAAAAATTAATAGACACATGTTTATGAACTTATATGAAAGAGAATTATAATTAACTTTTTTGTCTTGCATAAATAATTCAGAAATATCTCATTTATATAACTTCATAAACACTTCATTTACAGATTGCAATCTACAAAACACAACAGAGTTCTTTGAGTGCAAGTTTCTGAGGCAATGGTCACATCTAAATTTTTTTTTTCAGTTGGGGTAACTGTGAGAAAGTTAAGATTTACAATCCTGCCTTCAATTTATGTAGAATCCCCTTGGTCTTTATTTAAATAAAGTTCGATTTCAATTAGATTTAAAATCTTTTGATCAAAGCATTGTTAATACCTAATGTGAATTACAAAAAAATTAACAAAAATAGTAATTTAAAGTTTACCTTTTTAGTTGGTTCATAATACTGGAGGGGGAAGATGAGATATCATAAAAACTCCACTGAAATATCCTACAGGGGTCATTCCTAGTGGATTTTCAATAGGGTTAATTGTGAAGGCAAAAAAATGATTAAAAAAGGAGATGAGAGGAAGAGAATATAATACCCTCACTAGCAGCTGACATAACACCAACAGTGAGTTGGTTATGCATCCTTTGATGTCCTTTGTGAGGCTTCTATGCCCTTCATATTCAGACGAGTATCATCTCCTGTATTCTTCTTAATACGTGGACTCTACCTCTCCGTCATTTTTTCTTCTACGACATTGTTGTTGATTTTGGACTATATTCTTCCTTTAGAATGCTACCATGCCTTGGTGTTCATTAATCGGCATGTTGCTATATTCTTCATCTACTCCAACATTGATATCTACGCTGTGCAGGCATCCATATTTCTGGATTTTATGAATGTCATACTACTTGTACTGTTTCTTTGTAAATATATTCATCTGCAACTTTTGAAATGACTGCTAATGTCTTTACCAGGTAATTGCAGTGACTTATGCTATCATGACAACAAGATCACTGGACCTGGAGTGGAAGATGAGGGCTCTAAGGGTGTTACCTATGTTTGCCTTACCTGTCATATCAATTCTTGTATATTCAGCATTGACAAACCTCACAAGAATGTGTAATTATCCTACACTCAAACATTGCATTAAATTTCCTTCCTGATTCATTGTCATTAATTGGGTTATGATGTTTTCCGTTTATCTATTATTGAAACTGATTATTTATGGTTTCCTCTTTCTTGTTGTTATATTGAAACTGATTTTTTCCTGATTTCTTCTTTGTTTCTGTTTTAGTTGAACTGTGGTGAACTAATTGAACCTAAAAAACATTGTTTAAAGGATATACAACATTATGCGGTCTGTTTTGCAGTTTCCTCCAGTCAGGAGGTAGTTTCTTATAATTATTATTGTGTTGTCTGGAGTAGCCTAGGTTATGTTTGTAAAACCCAAAAATGCCGTCTAAGACCTCGCACG